TTGATAGCCATTTTAAAGCAACTTTTTCCCCTTTTTGACTAGGATTTATACGTTTTAGTGTCCTAGAATACAGCCTACTTCTTTGCCAAAAGAAGTACACCAAAGAAACAACAAAACTGTTGGTAACCTTTCCAGATTAACAACATCAATACTTTCAGTAAATTAAGCATGCCAGGCTACCAAGTAAAGGCATAACAATTAAATACTGCCATTTGTTTGGGAATCATAGCACAGACATTTAGGATTGTGAGAAACACTGGCTTCAGGAAAGAAAGAATCATGTAGGAAATTTTCGTCATTTAGCCAATACCTCAACAGTTTAAATACATAGAAGTAATCTGTAAAATAAAGATGGAAGAGGAGGCTTGGAAATGAAGCGCTACCTCCTAGGTTGGCCAACTGTTTCTGAATCACTGCACAACCTGCCTGCCAGAGAGGATTCTGCATGTAGTGAGTCCCTAATAACAGACGAGCTGCAGTCAGACCAGGCCCATATTTAGCCTAGAATACCTTGTGTAGCAGCTAAAGGAACAGTGCAGCCACATACATGGTATTTGCCCTAAATCTTCTTTCCCATCATTTGCAACGCAGGGGCCTCCTAAAGCAGACAAAGTAATTGGGGAAATAGCTGTTGAGATGGGATTAACTGCATTATTTTAAAGTATCTCCACAGCATCAACCTGCCATGGCTTTCACTATACAAGAGTATATCGTGTTTAAGCTTACCTTTACAAAGGTAATCTTCCTCCTTCCACCTCTTCCCTTCTCAGACAACAGGGCAGGGTGGTTTCTGTCTCACATTTTCCCTTAGGCTTATCTACCTGTCTTTATTGGAGTATTAATGATAGCCACAGCCTGATACTAAGGAAGAGGGGAAAACAGGCAGGATTGAAAAAACAAAACAAAACAAAACAACCCACAAAACAAACAAAAACAATGAAAAACATCACCCAGAACAAAAAACTACACCACACTTGTTGCTTTACCCCAACATGCCGCTTACAGCTAGAACTGGATAGTTTCCTTCTTAACTACAGGAAGATGTCACAGAAATAAGGAACTTGACACACCCCCCACCAGTTTTTTTGGTGGGGGAGGGGGAAGTGCAGGGAAAGGTGCACACTTTCATCTTTCCTATTACTCCTTTTAGTGTGTTGGGGGGTTGGTTGTTTTGGGTTTTCTTTTGGTTAGTTGGTTTGGTTTTGGTTTGTAAGTTTTGTTTGTTTTTTTCCTCTTTGAACCAGATTTGCAGATGTTGCCCTCAAACTAGATTTGGTGCTATCAGGAACTTTAAGCTAGTGCCTTGAAAATATGGGATGTATCTTCACCATTTCCCCTCCACATAATTCTCCTGTTTATGGTTGAAGATTTCATGACTCCCCAGATGCACACAATGAAGGAAGAGACCAAAGACATGTTCCTCCTCCACACCCAAAGCAACCAATACAAGCACATTTCAATACCAAGAGACAAGGCCATAGTGCTCCTCCAAAGGCATCTTCTACCCCAGCCCACTGAAGCAGTTGTGGGAACAACATTCACTGTTAGGCACAGGCAGCAGAGCTATTAGATTTGTTTCTGATCTGCTGTCTACACAGGAATGTTTTGTTAAATGCAAGTGACTGCAGCTCATGCTGTTGTGCTGAGGGCTGGTGTGCTGGGCTGAGGTGACTCCTCCAACTCCTGGGGCAACAGACTACGCTCATCTGAGAGGAGCCGTTAAAAACACAAGTTCAGTGCACACAGCTGTGAAATTCCTGCAAGATCACTGAAACAGATCACATGGCACAGAGGTTTTCCAGTCCAAGCTGTCAAGAGACAAGGAAAGCCCTGAAAAGGGTCAACTACCACTAAGATTATGCCTCCCTTAAAAGCTTTTTACGCTAATCCACCTCAGCAGAGCTTTTTATTTTTCTCCATTCTGCCAACAGCTTTAGCTATAGAAAAGTATTTTGACTTGGAGGAGGCACATTCACATTAAGAACAAGGCATTATCCCTGAAGTTCAGTAGACCTCAAGTTCCTGTTAGAAAGCAGAGGTACAGGCTTCTCAGACCACAGAACTCCTATTCTCATTTGAAGGCAGGTTGCTGAAAACAGGTGGGACAGAGGACAAAAAGTTTAACAGATGACAGACCTACCTCCAGCAGCAGCCAAAAAAAGAAGGCACAAGTGAGGCAGCCACTTGGAATTTCACCAGTCCCTGACCTTAGGCACCCACCTTCTCAGCAGAGAACTCAGTAAAGGAAAAGAGACAGAAACAATCAACATACAGTGAGGAAAACGAAGGAAAAATCCAGGTGGTTAAGTTATGCAAGCAGTCTGCATGTGAAAATTTGAGTATCTGGTAAGTTTGTCAATAGGCATGGGGATTTTACACATACTTGGAATTCATTCTTGTACATCTTCCTCCAGAATATGAAGTAAAGGAACACTACAACTTACTAATTCATGTCAGTTGTGTTACTACTGAAATATTTCCTACACAAAAAGCTTCTGTACAAAGCAAACATCTAACAACAACAACAAAATATCACTGTAAAACTTCAGTAGCTATGAGTGCTTGGATGGCACTTTTCCCCCCATGAATGGCGATTTGCTGCTTTTGTTAATTTAGGACATGAAACTCATCCAAAATAGTAACTGATGGCTGGTGTTCTCCAAGATCAGTTGAACTTACCATGTTAAAAAAAAGCCTATTTTAAAAAATAAGACTTACTATACCTTTTATTATACCTTAAAGCTATATGGAACAGTTCGGTACTAAGACAACTACACATCTTCTGAGGGCTACATAGTCCTCAACAGGCATCTGTACACACTTGCGATCCATTTTAGTGAATTTTGCTCTTAACCTAAGGTTCCTCAAAAGGAGAAATCCCCAACATCTTGCCCCACCCCCCCCTTTTTCTCAACTACCCTTAGATAATCACATTTCTATTTGTAGGAAAGTACTGCAGTCCTGCAAACCGTGACTCCTCAAAATTTGTTCTTACAATTTACTATCTTTACCTTGTAAGCCAGATGCTCTTCTAACACAATAAAAGCTGCTTTTAGAGGGTAAAGAAAAGCATCACCCAAAAGGGTTCCATTCACTTTTTAGGCCAACTACATACTTGGTCTGTGCTGAAAATGACAGCCAGAACAACAGAAATTGTCACTACAGGTACTTGCTTTTTCCTTCCTTTTTAAACAAACAAACAACAACTTATTTTCCCACTGAAACAGTCATACCATGGCTATATATCAAATTTGAAAACTACTCAAAATTTTAAAGTAGATGAAAGCCAGATTCTAGAGGGAGACAACATGGGTAAAAAAATATCAATACACATGATATTTTAATACAAAATATTAGCTTTTTTCTTTTTTTTTCTTTTTTTATACAAGTCAGTTTTTTCAAAATATAGAACCTTAAAAAAAATGAACAAATTGCTCTTCACAACACTTTTTTGTGCTCAGTTTGATCAAGTTATCAGAACAATTTAAACTCCAGTCCAAAGTTTAAAAACTGCCTTGAAGTTTTATGAAAACTATGCCGCACTGTGCGCTACCATTATTATACGTACAGTGTGAAGCGCCTTCTTTCAGTTCTAATACAGCAGTAGAAACTGTTCAGTTACCAGGTTCTTTGTGCAAGGATTTCACATTCTACTCATGGTCATGACAGATTTGCATTACATTTCAGTGGCACTGGGATGAGCAACCATGTGTAAATCCTGTGAATGTTCATTGGAAGAAAGTCCATTACATATTGTGGAAGTACATGTTCTTCAGCTAGATAAAAGAAAACTTGTTATCATTAGTTTAGGGGAAACGCTAGCCTGATTAGCCAGAATTTAACAATTTCTAAGCACTGAAATGAATTTTGATTTCTCAAAGTTGAATAAAAGTAACTATCACATTTTCATAGAGATGAACTATATAGCAGGTACATCTCAGGAATATTTGTAATTGCCCATTTTTTGAACCCATAGAAAGTAAAAAATTTCCCTTTAAGTTGGAGGCCTTAAAAGGTCTTGTTTTAGTAGTAAATCATCCACAAGTTGCAGGCTGTTAGCCAAGTAGATTTTAGGATGATTTACTTGCATTGCAGTAATTTACACAATTGAACTTTATGCATAGAGTACAAAACTATGAACAAAAAGGTGAAGCAAACTTTTTTATTTATATTCAGGTAAAAACATTAACCTGATGAAGTAAATTATTGCAGATTTGAGAAATCAGCACATAAAACAGTTGGACAGAGCATTGCTTACAGGTGCTTTATCTGTGTCAAAAGACAAAGGCTGAACTGTTTGTTCTAAGCTAGTGCTGGGGCAAAAAAAAAAGGAAAAAAAAAAGAAAAAACCTACAAAAGTAACCAGGAACTTAAGTCTAGAACAAGGAAACTGCTGTTTACTCAAACAGGGAATGAAACAACTAATTTGTCTTTTAAAAAACTTTACATCAGTTCAAAATGCTCTGGCCTTACCACAATACACACTGGCCAGCCCAAGCTGTTGGACTTCAACTACATGAAAGAAAGAATTCTTCCCAGCCCCTAGTAAGAGGCTTTTGCTGCCTCAATCACTGTGTAAACAGCTCTAGAGAGTCAACTGGTAAAGACTGTCACCATTATATCCTACCACTACAGTAAAACTATGCTATAAGAAATTTTCTACCTAGTTACAAAGGCTGAATTATATTGACAATATATATTTGATTTCAGTAAAATTTAAATTATCTTAATCAGAGAAAGAGGCATGGAGCAGTTAAATGCCCATGTTAACCCAAACATAATAATTGTTGAATGTTGCACACAAAAAGAACCAAGTGAATTGCACATCAGACAATACATGAGGATGGGTAAAATTAGAGGCAGGTGAGGGTACACAGAACTAGGCTACTAAACTAGATTCGTCAAATACATGGTGTATTTTAATTTCTGTACTTATGTACAAAAGTTGTCTTTGGAAGAAAAACTTCAGACTTAGCTAGATGGATACACACAGCCCAGTATTAAACTGCACAGCGACATTTATTGTTCCAGCCTGGAAAAACATCCCTTTTTAAATTTCACACAGCAAAGCAAGTTAAAAACTTCACTCAAATAAATGATAATTTAAACAAGAACTTGCTAAAGAAACCTTGTCACAACAACTTTTAGGGCCTGATCACTTTAAGTCCATAGGGGCCTTTAATGAATATCAACCAAGTGTCTTTGTTTATAATCTGCAAGCCGTTTTTCTACAACAAAAAGGCGTAACACGTTTCCTTGACTCAGGTGATATATTTAGAAAAGAATAATGAGTTTCTCTTTTGCTGTAACAGGCAGACATTGCATTTCTCATTTTGATCAGGAAAGATGGAATGACTGCTGCCCTTCTCTTGCAGCTATCAAGAGTTTTTCACGCATTATCTCAATAGTTGAATAGTCCGGCAATTTGAGATAGTTCACACAAGTCATTACTGAGGGTAAGAAATCATCTGGATTCTCTGTGGACTCAAACGTCTTGCGCACAATTGTCAATGGAGGATTCAAACTTCGAAAGCCTGTTAATGAGAAAGGACATTCAGAATAAGGTTGTTTCTCATGAGAACCCACAATTAACACTGTAGACATCTAACAGTGACAGAAGCATGCAGCTCATAACTGACTTCTTAATCTCCATTTTTAAGTTTAGAATGTGGCCTTATAAGGCCATATAGCAAGCTAAAAAAGAACTAAAATCCTTTCTGTAGATTAGTTTTCCAAGATTAAAAAAAGAAATAAGCTCAAAGCATCTACTTGTGTTCTATACATGCAAAAAACCCAATCATAATTTAAGAGTTTGTGGTTTCATAAACATTTTTTAAGATCCTCAGAAGTTATCTGACTGTTGTACCTTCTTTTTTTACTCCAGCTAAGGTTTTTATACTCCTAACCCTCAATCTTGTCTGCACCATTTCTCCCCAAAAGAGCTCTAAACAGTATTTTTTTTTCTAAATTACCTCTTTCCCCTAAGCCCTAAAGAAAGTAAGTAATGGAACAGATGCCTAAATTCTGTTTTTACTTGCAAAGCGTTCAGCTGAGAATACAGGAAAATATGTATTCTATAATGGTTCCTAGCAAAGGCAGAAAATTCCTCAGTTTTCCTCACTGCCTCATCTAAATTCTGAAATTCAAAAGGGGGAGAAATTAAACTTGATCACTATGCTAGTATTGTCTTCTTTCTAGAAGGGACATTATTTTTTCCAGGTACCAAGGCATAATTTTGTTGTCATAACTTAGTGCAACCCTAGCCAAGAAATACAGTATTAAGGGTTTTCAGTTTTGTCTACATTTTGAACTTTAAAAAAAACCCAAAAAAAAACCAAAACAAAAAAACAGTAGGTTATCTGATAACAATTTAGTTTACTCTTTCCTAGTTTAAGTGTCACGAGATTAACACAAAGTTTATGAGACTTCTACCTGAAGTCTACCCAGCCTCTTCTGAAACCAAAGTGTGAAACAAATATGAACCTCTAAAATACTCAGCTAAGTAATTGCTTAGACTGAAATAATCCACTTGTTCTGAAATGCATTAATAATACTGAATTCATATATAGTAATATGTAATAAACAAAACCTACCTCCTACAGGCAGTCTGGGGCTACCTGTCACAAACTGAAGAAACAGTCTTTGCTGCTCACTGTCAAAGCTACTGAGAATTTCAAAGAGATACTTCACTGCTCGACTACGGAAGGAAAAAAGCAAGCCATTATTATTTTGTTCATAGCTAAAGTAATTGCATCAGATTCCTATTCAGTGCAGTATGAATAATTTCAAATAAATTTCATATCATTCCTTTAGCTTGAATTAATGAAATCTATGAAATACATATTTTTAGTCCTAATATTTATTTTTCAACAAGACCAACACCTATTACCTGTCATGTGTATAACCGTGATCTGGCCTGCAACATTCCATTAAAGTCTTTGCATCCCAAGTGTCTGTTTTACTGCCACACAAGAGCTGCTCCAACTGTAAAATTAAAAAACAGGGAAGTAAGTTTTCCCCTTTAGAACCTGAGGCAGAACCAGTACTGTCTATTCTGACTACTATTACAGCAGACTTCTACCTTCTGGAACAGTTTGCTGCAAAACCACTTCAGCCACTCCAAGCAACCCTCCCCAGCTTGAACGCAGTAGCTTCAACCTAGGGACAGCCTCACTTGCTGAACCTGCCTGTGCATACAAACCACTACTACAGGAAATACTGAATGTATCTCTTAGAACAGAGACAGTCCTAATAAGCGATTTACACTGGAGAACCCAGAATGCCTTGACTTTTTGGAAATGTCACAATTTTTGAAGAAATCTAGGGGAATGGGAAAAAATAGTGTTTACACTTGCTTTTTTGAACTCTGAGCTCTTCAAAAAGTGAAAAATTAATCATTAAACAGAGATGGATCTGTCAGATAGCAGATTCATAATTCAGTTATTTTGCTGGTTCTTTCCATGCACTTGGGCAAGCAGGTAAGACAGGCTACAGGGAAAACATTAAAAGCTTCTGCAGAATCCTTCTAGTATGTAAGAGGAGTTGTAAAGCCTCGATCTCCATGAAACCAGAGGTTTGACACAATCTGTTCTATTCGCGAACAAAGGATTTTTACAAGTTCTTTATAATGGTTTGTAAAAAGGTTCAAATGGCTGGATAGCTATCAGCAACAGCATACAAGATCACACATGTATATTCTGTCATGAAAAAGGTATCTCGTATCTCACACTACTCCTATGGCTTAATTTTGATCAACTGTATTAGTACATTAGCAATAGACTAATGTCCGTATTTTTAAATTTCCAAGCATCAAACCAACAAGACAGAAGAACAGCATCACATATACTACTAAACAGAGAAGTTTGGGTAAAATACTGGAGAAACTAGAATAATTCTGTTATTTTTACTAACCTCAAATTTAGTTTTTGTTATTTTTTTTAAAAAAACAAAACAAAACACAAAGAAACAAAAATATGGTAATTCTCTTTGAAAGTAGTACCAGCAGAGAGGTATGAAGAACAAACACTATGAGCAATTACAGATCTCAGCTTTAAGACCCTCTTACATTGCAAAGCACCAACAACAGAAAAGTAACACAAAGGCTTGACTAACACAGTGCTTCAGAGCATGCTTCACATTTCTCCATGAAGCCCAGGTCCTGCTTGACTAATCTTATCTCCTT